TGATTTCAATATTACTAGTAAATTCATTTTCATTTTCATTTTCATTATGAGTTTGTTGATTTAATTCTCTGTCTTTTTCATCATCACTAACAACATTATTAACCATTTCATTGGGTTTCTTTTTTCTTATATATAAAATAAGAATAGAAATAAAAGCAACAATGAAGATTGCACCAAATATTGATCCAATAATTATACCAGTAGTTTGTTGATTAGCAGCTGCACTGGTGGTAGTTGTATCTATTGAAGGATTAAGACTGGTGGTGGTTGGTTCACTAACAGTGCTAGTAATGATTTTAGATAAAGGATCAAACATGTCCAACCATTTATAATTATATTTGTCATGAATATCTAATAATAAAATATTTTTGTAACTATTAAAATCACCAGCAACACTGAAATCATAAATGATACCTATTATTATTATTATTAAATATATAATTAGTATAAATTTATGTATGAATTTCAAAGATTATTATTATAAGTTACCAAATGAGATTATCATGTAATTTTTATATAAATTTGAAGTATGATGACTATGTTGTTCACTTAGATTAACAGGATAGTTAGTAATGTTTGTTGGAATTGTCCATTGGAAAGGAAATTTTGTTACATCCAATATTGCTATTTTGTCTGGTTTTGGAGTACCACCATACACAATTATCCTTCCATCAGATGCTAAAATAAATAAATATTATATATAAATTAAAAAATATATTTAATTGAATAATTAATCATAAAGTTAATTAAGTTACCTAATACTGAAGAATATCCATTTCGTTTAGAAGGTACATCACCAACTGTTGTCTAATATAACAAACCATTTATTAATATTTTTTTTAGTCGAAAATATTATTACTGATGATTATATACTTACAATATTAGACCATGAATTTTGATTAATATTATACAAGTATATCTAAACATAATATGTATTATAAAAAATATAACTTTTTCATTCTTTTTATTCAATTAAATAATAAAAGAATAAATTATAATATTACTTTAGTTGCAACAAGATCAAGGTAAATTATATTCTCATCATTCAATACATGACAATTGAAATCACCTATGTCTATTATAGATGGACCACCATTACTTGGTGTTAAGGTTATAAATGCCTTACTTTTGGAATTGAATTTATATATATTTGGATTATAAGAAGTGACTATATATGTGTTTCCATTATTATCTTGTGTATATCTTGTTGTATCAACTTTATTTAATTGTGATTGTCCATTTAGGGTTTCTGAAGTCCATGTATCAAATGAATTTGTATTTATTGAATAAACTATGGATCCATAAGCTGTAGAACCAGGTGCTGCTATATTATGAGGTACTGACATTTCACCTCTATATCCAGCTATAACATAAAGTCTGTCATTATTAGCCCCTCCTAATGCTAATGATGCACTACTAAATGGAGGTATTACTGATTCTGGAAAATACTTGTATTTTTGTATTGGTAATGTTTGATTAAGTGAAAATGATGTGGATAAATCTAGGTAAATTATTTGATTTGTAAGTGTTAATTTCTTAGAATATCCTCCAAAATAATAGAGTTTATCATTTAACACTATTGAACTTTGTTCATATATCTCAATATCTAATAATTGACCAGAAACCAAAAAATTGAAACTATCTAATAAAAATAAATTGAAAACTATTATTAATAATTTTAATAATTTTAAATAGTTATGATGATGTTTCATTAAATTATCCATTTTTTTAAAAATTTTTATATATAGTATATATTAAAATAAATCTGTATTGCCTTCAAAATGAATATTCTATATAAGGAAATTTATAAAAAAAAAGTAAATTTTTGCTATTTCTCCAAATACTAAAAAATAAATCTATACAAGGTGTGCAATTAAAATTTTTACATGAGTAAAGCAAGTATTTGTTTGATTATTATCTTCAACTACGCACCATCATATAGAAAATCAATATTGGATTTATTGCTACCGCCATTCTTGTTACTTGAAATGAGGATTGCTCAAAGTTTCTTAGCAAATTAAAATCTCCTATTAAATAGTGGTTCGCAATAAATAGTGACTTCATAGAATGTTATTTTACTATTTAAAAATCTTTCTCTGTGCGTGATAAACTTCATTAGAAATTTTAAATTGTTACTTAAACAGAATGTCAAAATATTTTTAAAAAAAAAACTGAAATAGAGGTTTTTTGGTATTAACTTTATTTAGCAAATTTAATAAGAAATCAATCTCATTATATCAAAAAATAAGATAGTGTATTATTAATAGAGATTCGACATTAGAAAAAATTCGAATTTCTAATAAAATTTGATATGTGTAACGTTATAAAAAAATATTGACGCCCATTTTCAAAAAATATTTTTTGCCGTTTTTCACTATGCAAACGACCTTCCCGCATTAAACAAAAAATTGAAAGCTAAACTAGGACTTCCAAACGACTACTCAAACAAGAAGCTAGCTCAAGTATTGGTTATTATACGACAAGTTAAAAGCATTGCTTTTGTTGACACTTTCCTTGAGATGTTCATAAAACTAGAAGGGTTCATAAAGCAAAGACAATTGCAGTGGGTGTATCAGAGTGTGCTCTGAAAAGTTTGTTAAGAACTCTTCGAAGGTTAAATTAGGAAAATTTCAACTTTACTTGTAGGGTCTTGAAATCCTGGTTGACGTAAGATCATACTATTAATTATTTCTAATACTAATAATACTAATGTTTTTTGATATGAACATATTTTTTTTCCATGTATTCAATGGTTGACACTTGCCAAGATATGTCAAAGTAATGGATATTATTTACTTATTATTATTTTGTTTTTTGTATCTGAATAATTAATTTAATTTCTTTAATTCTCAATTAATATTTTTAGATAAAAAAAATCCAATTAATTAAAAAATCATTTTAACAATTAGACAAACATGTTTATTCCCATGTTAATTCATTGATTCAATGGTTAACATTGTCAAGGTGATAGTTATTGATGTTAGATATGCTAATGAAAAGTTGATAGCAATCAACATATAATGGTAATTAAACCAACTTCTACTAAATTATACTTGACATTTTTATATCCAACCATTTCATTATTTTCAAATGTAATTTCTCAATCTCTAATTTTAGACATCCATTTTAATGTTATATTGATGTGAAGGGGAGAATGAAACAATATGTAGTAAGTGTTAATATAAATTATAACAATAAATTTAATTTGTTTATAATATCAAATTATAGTTTCTGGATAAATGATACATGGTGAAATTATATTTTATTGATTGATCAAAACTATTAATATTGTAACTTTATGGATGGAGGTGTCAGTAATCATATTAATATTAATATATTTTTTTTCAATCCAATAATAATTTTAATTTTGTTATAATATTTTAATTCTTTCTATTTGATATAGTTAATATAGTAATAGTAATAGTTCCAGTTTATTGATAACAATGATAAAAATAATTGTAAGCATAATAATAATTAATATTTATCATCAATTTTCAATTTTTAATATTAATAAATTTTTTTTAATATTATGTCAAATGTAAATGTTTTACTTATGGGACCCATTCCTAGGAAATTGGAAGTGAAAAATAATAAATTATTATTGTAGTTGGCTTTATGATTTGATCTAGAAAGATAAATGAATAGATATTAATATTAATATTAATTATTGATTTACACAACAAATTATTTATTTTATAATACACATCCAATAAAAATCAGCTTTTTAAAAAGATATCCAGCAAAATAGAAAAGAAAATTTGAAACATATACTCATATTTTAACATTAATGGCTTAATAATTGATTCATCCAAATGCAAAGAGTCATTTTCCTCACTGAGGAATGCATTTATAACTCCCCACACAAAGCTTTTATTATTACCACTTAATTTCCTCGGTCACCAGAAAAGCATCTTTTGTATATTTTCCAAAAATGTTCTATTATCATCTTCAACTTGACATAAAGATTCAAGGACTATTTTTGTTGAGTCTTTACCTTTCCACTATCAATTTAAAAATTTTATATTAGTAATTTAGTCTTTAGAAAACCATTATATTATACAGAATTAATAAAATATAATTACTTCTAATATTTGACTAACTGATGCATCATTGTTAATTTGTTCTAAATTTGGGAATGTCTGAAATAATTTTGATTTTATTCGTCTAATTGAATTCCCTCTAATAGTTCTAAATAGTTCTAAAGACTAAGTTTATTAAGACATTGATTGTTAAAATTTTGTATAAAATTTTATAACAAACTTTTAGATATAGATTTTAAAAATGCTTACTATAGTTCTTAATTTATACCAAATCTGCTCCCACTCTTCTCTTTCTTTATATTGTTTGTCGTTTTTAAAATGGTTCTCCAGAACTTTACGAACAAACTTTTCAATTGTCACATCTGCAGGGTATTTATTTTTAATAAATAAATCTCTTCAAAATGTTTCTTTAATAATTTTCATTGATTTTTATAATAAAATAATTAGGTTATTGCAAATTAAAATTAATTATTTTAATAATTAAATATCACTATCCAATAATTATATTTATATACCTTTATATTTAATCATTCCTTTGTATGTGAATGCCTCCATCCAACAAATATTCACAATGGTCATGATTATTATTCAATACATTCGATATCATAATCGGCATAACAAACAATTGCATCACCCAAGTAGTAATGATACCAAGGCCATGCATGAGTGAAACTTTTAATAATGTGTCTACCCAGATCTCTGGGTTTCAGAATAATAAATTATTTTCCTGATTATCAATTATGGTTGCTTATGAATAATAAATCTGATGTTGATCACAGGTGTCAGATTTAATTAAAATTTCCTGTCACAAACATAGACAGTGCAACTAAGCATAATTCAGCACCATGGATTTTTTCTCCACAGGTGAAACAGTCTTAAACATGTTGGAAGGCTTTGGACAAAACTTTTCTTATCTTTCCCTCAGACCAGGCTTGGCTGTCACCATATGAGCATTTATCACTGATAGTTGGTGCTTGTGTGATATTTGCTTTGTGTTATCACCTCTCACTAAAATAAAGTTGATTTAAATAACAAGTTCAGTTAGTCAAACAAAAATTAAAGAGAAACAGAGAATTTATGAAAATGATTAATTTATACATAACATACCAAACAAAATCTGAATCATTTTATTTTACAGCTTTCTCCTTGATGCCAATCATCATGATGACTCTCACAATAGGAGTGGGCAGAATCAAACTGCAATACTTATATTTGTAAGATACATGCTCTCATTGAGCTACACTCTTTTATCCTAGGGTGGATTATATGGGCAAAAGCCTCCATTTAAAAAAATAATAAGTTCAGTTGGTCAAACAAAATTTAAGAAACAGAAAATTTATGGAATGATTAATTTATAACATAACATACCAAAATTTGAACCATTTTATAACTTTTTCCTTGTTGGCCATATTGTTGACAAAGATATATATATAATCATGCAATAATTTTAATCTACAGGACAGAGGACTGATTGGGAAAAACCCTACCCAAAATTATAAATTGGTTAGTATCAGAGAAACAGAGAATTCAGGAAAATGATTATACAAAATAAACACTATTTTACAACTTTCCTCTTAACATCAAACTCCAAATGCAATTTCAGGGTACCAACCCTGCTCTGAATTGCAATCTCCTGAGCTTGGAACAAGTTGCAGATTCTCATTGCTTTGATGATCTGGATGTTTATGTGCTGTGAGGGAAGATTAGTGGAAGTGTCATTGACAGTCACCAGGGCCTTGTGTCCCCCCTGGATTCCAGTTGCAATATATCATTGGGGGAGTGAGCAGTCAGATTAGCCTTGTACACAAGGAAGATGAGAGAATGACGTAATGTGTTCAAGGTAGCATGTGTGCTTCAATGCCTGCTATTTTCCTGTAATCAAACGTCACATACTCAAAATGTCTCTTTTTCAATGGTGTGTTGCCTTGACATCTTGTAATTATAATATTATAATTATATATTAATAAAGAAAAATATCAATCATTCATTGTTGATAAGGATCTTATTACCCCAGCAAGATCTGCTCCATGTTTTGATGCCAATTAAAATGTTTATAATAGCTAAAAGACACCTCATACATATCAATACAAATAAAAAATAGTACCTTTATTATTAACACTTCTTTTTTAGGAAATTCATACTTTGTCATCTTGGGACTCTGTCAAAAAATAAATTATTTCCCAAGAAAAAAAAAATCAATTCATGTCAACAAAAAAAAACCCCCCATACTAATATGTAAACAAACTCATAAACAAAAATCATAATAAAAAATTCATTGATCACACCTAACAAAAATAATTGCATTTTCCATTCTTTTTTCATACTAATAAATTTAAATAGATAAAAAATTAAATTTTAATACTTGCCTAAAAAATGATCCTTGTTTCAAATAAAAACTATCATCATTTGATTTTCTTGATCATTACTTAATTGTATTAAATAATAATAAATTTTGAATTTAGCAAAAAAAAATTTTCATTAATATGAATTTGGTAGTTTGTTGCAAAAAAATTTTTTGAATAATTAAATTTAGTAAAATAAAATAATTGAATTTAGTATTTATTAGTAATTGAATTTAGTAATGTGGCGCGAAAAAAACAAATTGAATTTAGTAATGCGTCGCGAAAAATAAAATAATTGAATTTAGTAATGTGTCGCGAAAATAAAATAATAATTGAATTTAATAATGTCTCACAAAAAATTGATAATGAAATCCAAGAATTTGGAAATGTTGAAATTACTGATGAAGAAATTATTAATTATGTAAGACCAACAGTCGAGTCTGAGCCAGAATATGAATTATCAATTGTTAACCAAAAAATTATTACAAAAGAGGCATTAGAATCTTCAAACATTGTCCTTTCTTATATTCAAGATCCACCTGAAAATCTTTAAATTAAAAATCACATATCCAAACATACTGATTCTAAAAAAAAACAAAGCACACTGGATAATTGGATTATTAAATAATTATTTTTATGAAATTATCTATATATTATTTATTTATTTTTCTTTTTTATGTATTTTATAAATTTTTTTCATTATTTTTTAATAAAGTCATATCACGGGATTTTTTGTAAAATTTTGCTGATCTTTTTATATAATGAATCACACCATACAGTTCACACTCTCTATAACGGATCATTTGTCTGGGGAAAAAAGATCCGTTATTATTATTATTATAGAGAGAATCCGGTATAGAGAATTTTGTTGATCATCACATGATTAAGTTAACGAATAAAAAGAAACTTATTATTATTATAACTATGAAAAAATCATTATTCAATATTAATGTTCAAAAATCATCTAATGTAGATTGTTTTCTTTGAATTAAATTCTACTTTTTTGATTTTCTTTTTAATGGTTTTTAACAATTTCAATTCTTCATTTGTAAATTCCTTAAATTGCTGTTCAACAAATAAATTTACATTTTAAATAAATAATAAAACAGAATAGATAATAAATGAATCAATTTGATATGAATTAGGTTTGATTAATGAAAAATTTAAAAATTGAATTAATACAAAAATTAGGATCGATTTATATAAAAAAAATTGCTTAATTTCACGATGTAATTCAACGTGTAATGTGATGTCTGATTTATAATTATTTATACGTAAAATAATATTGACATTATTATTTTCTTTATTAAAATAATATTGACATTATTTTAGCTTGGTAATAACATCATCAATTTTTGATTTCTTTATTGATTAACAATTAAGAGATTATTTGTATATAGTGATCTAATAATGACTATATGATTTAAGATTTGCATTTTAAGTTTTGAAATCACGTGAATCTGGTATAAAGAGAGGGATTTATATTAGTCGCATGACATTTCCCGCTGATCTATAGGAGGTTGTAAAACATAGTAAATTTTGGATGATCTGCATCATAGTGAAATTTTATAATAATAATTGAATGTCTTCACACCTTCGTTTGATACCCTTGCTGTGTAGCAACCACCACCAAATTTGATATATAATTTCTTTATCATATGTATCTGCTTTATGAAAATTTTTAACACAGGTTGTTAATAAAACCGAAAATAATCTGACCCTCAAAGTCAAATTTTGCCTTTATATTCATATATGCAGAAATTGGCATGTCCATTGCAAACAAAAGTAGAAATAAATGTCCAAACATTACATTATTATGAATATTTACAGACTCTTGATCACCTAGGTACATCTTTTATAGTAAAATCATTCATTTTAAAAATCAATAATATTAAAAAGATAATATTATATAAATATAATTTATGGTTTTTTATAAATATGCATTAAAAATTCCTTTTATGTTTTATTCCTACAATGATAAATGTAATTAATAATGATCAAGTAGTATAAGCAAGCAACCATAATGATACCAGGAAAAGGAGAAGAGAGATGACAATAGATGCAAAAATGTTGGTTTTTGTATATTAATATTATTGAATTTACATGGTATTTTGTTATCATCATTACCATTTTCATCATTTGATATTTCATTAAGTAATAATTTATTATTAATAGAATTAACTTTTTTATAGGATTTTACATTAGACAATATCCTTTTTTATAAAATTCCAAACAATGATTACATAAAATTTTCCAGAATAGATTGTGATGAGCCTTTAATATTTTATATGTGAACATCAGCTATTTCTATATTAGAATACAGTTTAACCTTCTACCTTGTCGTGGGATTTTAAATCATTCAAGGATTCCCAAAATTGAGAAATTTCTAATAGGAATTTTCTTTATCAATTGTGGATGGTGTCGAATTTTCAGAACAAATTGTGACGATCCTTGGATATTTTATATGTAACTATTAGTTATTTCTATGTCATAATACACTTTAGGTTTCTACCTTGTCATGGAATTTTAAATCATTCAAGAAATCCAGAAATTGAGAGGCTTCTAATAGGAATTTTCTTTATCAATCATGGACAGCGTTGAATTTTCAGAATGGATTGTGACGATCCTTGGATATTTTATATGTAACTATTAGTTATTTCTGCATCACAATACACTTTAGATTTCTACTTTGTCATGAAATTTTAAATCATTCAAGAAATCCAGAAATTGAGAGTTTTCTAATAGGAATTTTCTTTATCAATTGTGGATGATGTTGAATTTTCAGAACAGATTGTGACGATCCTTGGATTTTTTTTATATGTAACTATTAGTTATTTCTATGTCATAATACACTTTAGGTTTCTACCTTGTCATGGAATTTTAAATCATTCAAGAAATCCAGAAATTGAGAGGCTTCTAATAGGAATTTTCTTTATCAATCGTGGACAGTTTTGAATTTTCAGAATGGATTGCGACTAAGGTTGCTTGCCAAAACCCCTCCAGAAATCAATCGCAGAGTTTCGACATGTTACACATTAATTGTTTACTAGAGTTTTGCCGAGTTTCGCATTTTGAGGTTTCGCCATTTGGCATAGTTTCAACAAGATTTTTGATAAGATTTAATAAAGTTTCACCATGGTTTCGGCAATTACTAAGTAGGTTTTGCCCACAACCTTAATTGCGACGATACTTGGATATTTTATATGTAACTATTAGTTATTTCTGCATCATAATACACTTTAGATTTCTACCTTGTCATGAAATTTTCAAATCGTTCAAGAAATCCAGAAATTGAGAGATTTTTAATAGGAATTTTCTTTATCAATCGTGGATGGTGTCAAATTTTCAGAATAGATTGTGACGATCCTTGGATTTTTTATATGTAACTATTGGTTATTTCTGCATTATAATACACTTTAGGATTCTACCTTGTCATGAAATTTTTAAATTGTTCAAGAAGTCCAGAAATTGAGAGATTTTTAATAGGAATTTTCTTTATCAATCGCGGACGGTGTCGAATTTTTAGAATAGATTGTGACGATCCTTGGATTTTTTATATGTAACTATTGGTTATTTCTGCATCATAATACACTTTAGATTTCTACCTTGTCGTGAAATTTAAATTGTTCAAGAAGTCCAGAAATTGAGAGATTTTTAATAGGAATTTTCTTTATCAATCGCGGATGGTGTTGACTTTTCAGAACAGATTGTGACAATCCTTGGATTTTTTTATATGTAACTATTAGTTATTTCTGCATCATAATACACTTTAGATTTCTACCTTGTCATGAAATTTTCAAATCATTCAAGAAGTCCAGAAATTGAGAGATTTTTAATAGGAATTTTCTTTATCAATCACAGACGGTGTCGAATTTTCAGAATAGATTGTGACGATCCTTGGATTTTTTATATGTAACTATTAGTTATTTCTGCATCATAATACACTTTAGGTTCCTACCTTGTCGTGAAATTTTTAAATCGTTCAAGAAATCCAGAAATTGAGAGATTTCTAATAGGAATTTTCTTTATCAATTGCAATTTAATAAATTATAATTAATAATCAATTTTATTATTATAGGGATAATGATCTTAAATTTAAAGCTTTCATTTATTGTGATAATATTATGTATTATTTTTTTTTTTATTAAATAAATATTTTATATTTACAATCCAACTATAACAAGTATTGATTAATGGTTAATATGTTGATATGGTATTTTGTCATTCTTATATGTAGGTCTGCCAATTCCAATAGCTTCTACTAAGAAATAATTTTTTACTAGTGATTCTGAATGTTCAGTTACATATAATATAGCATCAATCTATTTAGTAGGCATTTTTTATGTTGAAAAAAAATATTTAATATTAATGAAAAAGGAATTATGAAACAATATTAATATTAATTAAAATCATATATTCCCAAATTAATAATTTCATGACATAATATAATTTGCAAAATTTGCAAAATTTTAAATTTTTATTTTTTTCTTTTTGTTGGTAACAATGAATTTTGTAATGGGTTAAAAAAACCAAATTTTCTAACATGTATTAATTTTTTTTTTGTTCCAATAGTAACTTTTTTTTCCTTCAGATCTTGGATCTCCAGATGACTGCCCTTTAGAATGCCTGCTTTTAAAAAAAACTGATATTCTGATTCTTTAGTTGGTGAAGAAGAAGATGAATTTAAAGACAATAATTTTAAAGACGACGACAGTGACTCTAAAGGAGATAACGATTCTGAAGAAGATGATGATGATGATTCTGAAGAAGATGATGATGATGATTCTGATTCTGAAGAAGAAGAAGAAGAAGAAGATGATGATTCTGAAGAAGAAGATGATGATGATTCTGAAGAAGAAGAAGACGATGATGATTCTGAAGAAGAAGATGATGATGATTCTGAAGAAGACAATTTTCCCAACTATTATTAAGTAAATAAATAATAATTAGTTTTTTGAAAAAATATATATTTATATATTAATATCAGAGTGTTGCTAAGAATTGAAGTCCAAAAATTCTTTTCAATAATGATTGTTAATTATTCCACCCATAATAATAATTAAAAACAGAATTGACTCAAGATAAATTCTTAGTCAGATAACAACCACATAACATGATAAATCAACCTTTTTAATAACATGATAAATAGACTGTATTGTACCAAAAAAAATACTTTTTTACTATATTTTGTATCAACCAGGGATAAGTTTCACCCAAAGAATAAATAAATGGTACTCCGCTGAAAAGGAAAACTACCAATTCCTCCTTTTGACATGATAATATCATCATTTAATATTAAATTAACAGAATATATATATATAACATGTATACCTTATTATTGCAATAGTTGTTGCTTAAATATTTTCTAGCCTTCTCACCATTATTATATATTCTATCATCTCTATTTTTTTGTTGTAATAGTAAAAAATGTGTTAAATGTTTAGAATGACAATGAGTTGTAAGTGGTAATAACCACTACCACCATTCTTATGATAAACACTTACTCGAATGAATCTTTTATTTTTATTTCGTTTCTTCTTTTTGATTGTTTGTTATTTGAAATGGACATCTTTAATCTTTTTTTATATGGGTTGTACAAGAAATCTATTGGCTTTTTTGTTGACGTGACGCGATTGGGGTTTTTTTTTATTATTATATATTAAATGTATATATATATTATTGAAATCAAAAAATGGATGGAGCAGAACTTTAGTGTTCTTTAGGTATTTATTACAAGATTCTTGATAATAATAAATAATTGGTATTGTTTTTGCTTTTGTAACCAACATTATTAATATTAATATTAAATATAATCACAAGATGTCAAGGCAACACAACTGTTACAAGCAATATAGCTTACAGACATCAATGTACATATGCTACCTTGAGGAAATTACAGTCATTCTCTCAGATTCCTCGTGTACACAAGGCTAATCTGACTTGATTCCCCAAGGATACAATGATGCAACTAAATTCCAGGGGGGAGGGCGTGGCCTGGAGTTTATTGAACAATTGCTTATTGTCAAGTATATCTTACCTAATCTTCCCTCACAGCATTTAACCAATGAAGGCTGCAGACATGTTGACCGAAATGTTTCCTGCAATGATCCTACTTCTAACCAAGAAGTTGTATTTTGAAGAATTTAATATTTGGGGTGAGTGGGGATAATACAAAGCAATCATCACATAAGTGCCAACTCTCATCAGTGATCAATGCTCATATGGTAACAGCCAAGCCTGGTCTGAGGAAAGTTTTTGTCAACCTTGAAAAAGTCTTCCAACATATGGGGGCCTTCACTGTGGAAAAAAATTCCACAATTATGGAGGTGTGTGAAAGCACTCAACCATATGTTTGTGTTAGGAAAGTTTTATTAAATCTGACACCTGTAATTATCATCAGATTTATTATTCATGGTTTTTAAGCAACCATACAATTGGAAGGAAAATTTTTTCTGATCCTCCAGTCAACCTGGTCCAAGAGAGGCATAGATTTATTTATCAATCTGACACACATTATTGTTTTGAAATAAAAAAATTCATTACTGCATGGTCTTGGTATTATTATTATCTGGGTGATGCAATTTATAGTTATATTTAAAATAAATAAATTAACTTCACAAGTATATGAACGAAAAGCAGATATAAATTGATGGGAAATAGTAATTTTAACATAAGTATCCAATTTTTTATTTAATATATTTATTTATTCTGTATAATTTTCTATCTATTTTCTAATTCTTTTTTTTTTATAGATAAATGCTAATCATGTACATGATTTACAAAAAAAAAAATTAACGAAGAAAATTATTATACGTAGAAGAATTAATTAATATATAATAATAAATAAAATTTATGATTAATATATATGATAATAAATAAAATTTATGATGAAAAATGAGAGAGAAATTAGTTACAAGTAACATTAATGATGATAATAATAATTGATTGTTCCAAATGCTAATATATACTACACTATTTATTTTTTTTTCTTTTTAGATGATCATACCAATAATTTCTAACCTTTAAGTATGTCCATGAACTATCTATTTGTAATAGGCTTTCAAATATTCTTTTGGCTACCTCCTTTGGTAATTTTGTAGGATGATTAAATAATTCTTGAAGAATACTCAATTCTCCTTCTGTATAATTTGATCTTCTTAGTTTTGGTGTTGGGATTTCTGCTTGTACCATTTCATTCCTTGTAGATAATATTCCTTCCATTGTATCTGTATCTGGTAAGTCATCATTAATTTCTACTGCTTCATTGCTTGTTCTTCTAATTTGATTTTGTTCTCGAGTGTATTTATTTTGTTCAATAAGTGTAACTTTAGCTAGATTTTTAGACTGCCTACCAACAGTAGAACGTCTTTCTATTTTATAAACATCTTGTTTCAAGATTTTAATGAGACAGCCTATTCCTTTTTCATGACATTCAAACATCCTTACAAAACCAGATTGATTTATTTCTTTTGCATTTTTAAAAAATTCATGTTTTGTAGGATCTGGAAGATCAAATGCTTCATCAAGCTTATGTACAAGTGACCATAGAATTTCTTTTCTTTTTATTATTGCATGTCTTCCTGTGCTGGTAGTTCTATCCTCAACAAATTCTGAGAAGAGCAACATCATACGTTCATGCTCTGCTTGAATAGATTTAATTTGCAACATCAAGTTATCATCATCTGTAGTCCTACCAGTAATATGTTGCTTAACAAATTTGACACCAAAAAATTCAAGCCCTTCATCAAAAGCAAGGTAGTGGCCTTCTTTAGTTAAATTAATTGAGCATGCATGTGTGAGTAATTCTTTTTGTTCAGAATTTCGATTAATTGATTCAAGGAAAAATACTACTGATTGAGCATAGTTGCTTTTCCCAGTTATAGGGAATAAAGGTGCAAAAGCTGCCAGATTTTCTATCTGCATATCAAGATTTCCCCTACGCATACCTAATTGATGGCATTTCCAGAGTCCAGAGAAACGGTAGTAATGGAACCATACTTTTAAAACATTATTATTATTATTTTCATATTTTTTCAATTCTAAAACACGAGATGTTGCTCTATAATCAACATTATTTTCTAGTGCATCTAAAAAGCGAACACCAAGTGCAGCAGCTATGTTATAAATCCCATATCCACTAAAAGCAGTGATTAAGGCATTACACATGGACTTGGAAGTGTGCCATTGACCTAGTAAGAATCTACCAGTCATTTTTTCATTATAATAAGATTTAGTTCTTCTGAAGATTGCTTCATCACAAGCTAAATCAATTACTTCTTGTTCAAGTTCATCAATATACATATCTATTGAGTCAAAAACTGCTTTGTCACTTTTAGGTGCAGGTCCTGGTTTAAGAATTACAACATTTGGGGGTGAAACTTTGCAGCCTATTGTAATTTTTGAGGCAACTTGACCACTAATGTCCTGGAGATCAAAATCATTTTCATACATTCCAAGAAGCTCCTGAAAAATATTATCAATAGTTCCTTCCCATTGTTTTATAAAAGATGATTTTCCAAATAGTTCCAAATTGTGAGTTTGTGGATGATTAATTTGTAAGAATGAATTTATTGGTAATGGAAGCTGGAACTGAAAGACCATCCTTAAAGTAGCATGAGCAGAATTTCTATATGCATCATAAATATTGCCATGATGAAAGGTAATGTCCTTGAAATCAATATTATCTATAACTGCTACATTCCATATTTTGTCATTTTTAAGCAATTTTAATTCTGGTTTAACTTTTTTCATTCGTTTTTCTTGTACTTTTACTTCATAATCTCTTGAATATGAGACAACACTTACTGCATGAAGTATTTTTTGCAGTGTTGAAATCATCTTAGGTCTACGACAAAGTGAAGCCATCACATGAGTCAACCATATTTTCCAATGTGGAAATGCAATAGTAAGGATAATTGAAGCAATAAATGCTGTGGTCTTCAAAACTGAGGAAGTATTCTGCCTTCTCTTTCTTTCAGCAATCTGATGTTTTTTCTGTTTTATAGAACCAATCAAACTATTAAAAAAATTGGTCAATGTTTTTGGAAAAGCATTATGATACTCATTCAAAGAAGTAGGATTTTCTAAGATGGAAATATTTTGTCCAAGTTTTTGGCGTGAATTCCAAATGGTAATACCTAATTGTTCTCCAAAATTTTTGTAATTATCAGCATTTAAATTTATTTGTTCAGTTGATAGGCTATTATCAAAGCCATTGTCATTTGATTTCATAGCAATTTTTACGAGTAAAAGGCTAGGTATTTTTTCAGGTATAGTAGTTTTATAATATTTTGATGATGAATTTAACATGGGTGTCAGATGACATGTTAATCTTTTCTTTTCATCATCACTTCCAGAATCAGCAAGTTTTGAAATCCACTTTGCAAATAATTTTAATGTGGTTTCCTGATCCTCTACGTATGTGTAAATGTCCACCACATGTCTCAAAGCATTCTGTGCATATATAACGTATTCGGTAACTGCTTGAAGCTCCAGAAGCAAAATCATCAATTTCTGTGAATGATGTACAGGATTTTAGGCCAAGACATGGTACTTGAACATTCCTTCCAGCAATTTTCCAGGAATGTACAGCACAGTTATCACCTCTACTAAAAAAAAATCGGATTTTATTACACATAAGGCATTTTTTTTTATGTATTTTACTATCATCTATATATTTTTTTTTTTTATCATTAGGATTGTGGAGCTTGCTATTATCAAAATTAAAATGGCTGGTACAAACACCATATTCATATAATTTAAAATCAGAATTATCCTCAACAGATACATCTACTTCCCATGTTCCAAAGAGCTGTGCTAATGGTACTAATTTTTCTATCGAACAACATCTAGAAATCCCTCCACTTGAATTATAATTATCAATTACAACACATGGTGACAGCTTTGTGGGCTTAGAACTTGGTATTATAAAAAAATCACCATCAGTATTATCAAGTATATGAGATTCATCATCACCATCATCGCCATCATCACCACCATCACCACCATCATCATCATCACTCTCTTGTATATCTATATCTATTTGAGATTTAAATATTTCCTTTGCAATTTTGGGTGCTAATTGATCTAAAAAAAATACTCTAGAATCATCATCTTCATCACTTTCATCTTCATTGCCATCACATCCATTACCTCCACCTCCATCATCCTCATCTTCAAATTCACTTTCACTTTCATCTTCTGTTGATTCAATTAAATTCAAGTTTTCTAGATTTAAGTCCATTTTATTTTTATATTGTTGCAACAAAAAGGCAAAAGCAATAATAATGTAAGAAAGTATATATATAAGGTTACAAGAGATAAATTATAATATTTTTATTTTAATAATAATTATTAATGAAATTACAAAATAAGATTATTAATAAGTTCCTCCTATTTATAAATTTTTTGTAATTTCTTTATATACTAAAAAAAGAATTTGTTAATTATAGAAAGAAATCATTAAATCTAATAAAAAAATAATGCTGTTGGTCTTATGAGATTTTCATTATCTATTAATATTATTAAAAACAAAGAGAATTAATTCACACCTTTCTTATCTGTCTATTAATAATAATATTAAAAACAAAGAGAATTAATTCATACCTTTCTTATCAATGCATTAATATTATTATTATTATTATACAAATATAGCTTACCAATTTCCGTTTTTTTTCTTTCCTTTTCTACCATATTAATAGTTATTCCAATCTTAGAAGCAAAAAACTTTTTAGTAAAAACCATTAATAAACAATATTATTTCTAAGAGCCAAAGTTTAATTTTTGTTTTATTTGAACCTACAAAGTTTGAATTCTTGTTCTATAATTTGTTGTATAGAAGTGGTGACGTCATTAAGAACTGAAGGTATAACTTTGAACAGACCATTCTTTTCCGTTTTCTTAATAAACTATAGCTGAACTTTTGCGAGGTAATAAATTAAATCTCAAACAACATGTGTACAAAGGGTCACGCTCCTTGTTTAGAAAAGTCATGTGGTTTTACTAGTAGCAAATGAAAATTTCCTTCGATTTTAATAGTAAAAATTGAAATGTTTCACGAAAAAATTACATAGTAACAGCAGTAGACATGTCGATCCCGTGAAATCACGGATGACTACTATATGAAAATGACCAAAAATCCCCTTTTTAAAACTAAATGTGTTGCACTAAGTTAAATTCATCATATTCTTTCGTTAAATTACACAACAAGGGTATTAACATCTGCACTGATTTCTGGGTAGGTTACACCTTTATCCCTGTGTTCAGAGGGATACAGCTTTAGCCTGGCAAGGGATAAATATAAATACATGGATATATCTCTGATCACCTGGTCTGTAGATCTTGAGTGAATTATCCAACCAATACCCAAAGATCAATAAGATTGATAAGGGGGGATATCCCCAGGGTAAAAAATACAATATAATTTTCCCGGACTTTCCAGAAAACTTTAGAGAATTCCGATAAAATTTTTGTTCTTCCGGTAATTTAACTGGTCACACTTACCACAAAAAAAAAAGAAAAAAAAGAAAAAAAAAAAAAAAAAAATTTATTCATGACTTTAAATCAATATTTTAGAAAAACTGACACAAATGAATCTTCTGATAGAAATGTTAATGAAATGTATGTTATAGATGCTTAAAATTTTTAATTGCTACAGTATTAACAATAACATTTTTTACAGAATTAATAATGAAATGTTACTTGAAGAAACAGAAGAAAACATTCAAGAAAACTATACAAATATGTTTCCAAATATTCTTAAATTATTGGATATAATTTATTCAATTCCATTGTCAAGTGTTGAGTGTGAACGAGGTTTTTCTCAGCAAAACCTTATCAAAACAGATTTATGCAATAAATTGACAAATGATACATTGCACATGTTGATGTTAGTAGGATTAGAAGGGCCAGATCACAGAAACTTTGATTATGATAAAGCTGTACGAATGTGGTTTCAATCAAAAAGTAGAAGGATTGAGGATTAATTTCAGTTTTATTGTCTATTTAGAATAAATAAATGAAATAAATAAAACTTTAAATAGTTGTTTAAAGAAAATATCTATTTTTCATTAAAAAAATTTTCTTCAATAAAACTTTCCGACAAAAATTTTTGTAAACTGGAATATTTGCCTGAAGAATTTTGATCCTATTTTTTACCCTGGATATCCCTCTTATATGATTTCCCAGGCTGAGGCTTTATCCATAGGAACTGAGGGATAAAGGTGTAACCTTTCAGAAATTGTCCACATGGGCTGAACATCAAACAAGGCAATGAAGACCAGGGAGAAAAATCTTTAAAATTCCAGGCATTCTGATAAAATTTTAGAATAGGCCATTTTCCAGTTGCACATTTTTAATATTAATATCAACACAAATTCTTTATTTGAATTATCCATTTTATTTGTTTTATTTGCTTTTATTCAGGTTTATTCAGTTTATTCAGTTTTATTCAGTTTTATACACTTTATTCATTTTGTTCAATTTATTCAAACTATTCAAATTATTCATTTTGTTTGTTTTGTTTGTTTTGTTCAGTCCATTCATTTTAGTTTTATTCAAACTATTCAGATTATTCATTTTATTCAATTTTATTCATTTTATAAAATATTAATCCACAGTTTGATGCAACAAATTCTATATTAATATTAATATTATTGTTAAGGGATTTTAAC